GAAAACTGCCTATACACGCCTTTATGTGCGTGGTGGGATGGGACCCCGGTCCGACGCCTACGATGAGGCGGATAGTCACCTCCCCTCTCGCTCTCTTACCTCGTCATACGTGGCGAGTCAGTGGTCCACCTATGCATGCTTTTCTTAGCGTGGTGGGAAGGGCAACTGGCGCAACACCTACGATAAGGTAAACGAGCGACCCTCGCCCTCTTATCTCGACTAACGTGTCAGGCCGGCGGTCTACCTATGCACGCCTTTATTGAGCGTGGTAGGAGGGGCAACTGGCACGACACCTATGATGAGGTAAGCGAGCGACCCTCGCCCTCCTGTCTCGACATGCGTGTCGGACCGGTAAACCACCTAAGCACGTCTTTAGTGAGCGTGGTAGGAGGAAAACCGGTTCGACGCACACGGCGAGGCCAGGCGAGCCTGGTGTACTCTTTTCTTTGCGCGGCCGGAATAATTTATAAGTACCTCCGGGCGGGGGGAAAGCAACTGCTCTTTTTCTTGTAACAGGTACCGTCAAAGACCCCATGCACGCCTTTATTGCGCGTGGTGGGAAGAAAAATCACGACCGAGGTGTCCTCGAAAGAGGGCACCTACCATGCACGCCTTTATTGCGCGTGGTGGGAAGGCCCAGTTTTCTCGTAGTTTTCCCCTAAACGGGGGAGACGCCGGGAGGCTGCCGAAATTTCGGGTGAAATATTACTACACGGACCTGTTTTGAACTCAAAAGAACAAAAGATTTGGACCAAAAGAGAAAGAGCAGTGAACTTTTGAACATGAACTATGGACCTGTGGATCAGAATCAAAATTCAAAATGATTTCTAAAGGCCAAACTCAAATAAAATGAAATCAAATTTGAACCAAACTCAAGCTAATTTGAACATAAAAATGGACATATAAAGACTCTAGAGGACTTTGAACAAAAAGAAAGTGAACATTCAAATGAACTTGCAACGAACTTCAGAAGACCCTGGACAATCAATTTGAACATGCACTTCAAGCTCATGATTGAACTCGGACTATACGACATCAAGTGGAGACCTGTAAAGTTGATGAACTCAAGTCTAAATGAAACTAAATTCGGATTCAAACACATACAAGAACAAAGTTTGAATCACACATGAGGAAATTCAAATTACAAGACCTCGATGCACGAATCTCCTACGACAATTTCTACAAATGCCTGTTGATTGAGAAGGCAATATTGGAGATCGACAATCAAGGACCCCTTCCTACAAACAAGTACAATTATCAAACCACCTGAGATTGGTGAAAGGTGGATATGATTGAAGGTGACAATGGCTCTCCTACGAACATCTCTAGGAGATCGTAGCAAATACCACGGGTCCTTCCAAATAAGCACGAACCACTGGTGGATAACAGCAGTGTGTACATCGTAGGAGCAACGAACCACTGTGGTCACAAGTATTGATATCACCTACAATAGTGATGGTCAGAATCTATAAGTACACCGGGTACAAAGGTAACCCGATGTGCGAAAAGTACACCTAGCAAAATGGGAGGAAAGTTCAAATAAATTAGAACCAAACTTCTTGGTGTTCCAAAAGTCTCTTTTTGGTTCTATGATTAAGAAGAGAACAGTTCTGATGTCTACAAATACCGAAAATAATGGTTCGCTACACCAAAGATCATGAAAGGAGGTCTTTCCGAATCAGCAGTCATTGACTCTAAATTTCAAGAAAATCCCATCCCCGGTGAATGAGAAAGGGGGAGGGGGTCAACATCAAGACCAAATCGCCACCGGATCTGCAACACTGATATAAGCAGATAGAAGGCGTCTACAACATTCATATTCGGCCTTTAAGGCCTTCAACAAAGAAAATTCATGAACAAAAAGGCATGAAGCCTACGAAACCCGATCCTCCTAAGCAGGTGAATAGGAGTAGACAGGGTTCAAATTCTCAGATAAATATACGGTCACGAGTGCGATCGGGATATTTATTTTAATGCATTCATATTCGGCCTTCAAGGCCTAAAATCAAGAAATTTCATAAACAAAGGCACAAAGCCTACAAGAAACCCGATCCTCGGTCAACAGCTCAGCCGAGTCGACAAGGTTCAATCCGAAAATGGAAATGACCCCAAAACACCCCGATGATGGCCGTGTTGAATGCAGATCTCAACCGTAGGAGTTCCCAAATATTTTTCAAACATCTCCCAAATATTCAAAGTCCATTTCAAATATTCCAAGCTCCACCCAAAATATCCATAAAAATCCAAAATCCAAAAAAATCTCAGAATCAAGAAAATTCAAAAAATATTTAAAATTGAAATAAATTATCAATCACTGAAAGCAAACTCCGTCCACCCTCTGCAATAGTTTGTCGAGGTGGACAAATTAAAGTTTACTTCAGCTCACAAAGAGCTAAATGCCTAGTCGAAAATATCACTAGGATCCATTCTCAAACAATCTCTTGCCAAGTAAGGACGTGGTACGTGTCCTCTAACCGGCAATTTTGCCGCCAAATGACACTGCAGGTAAACGGTTATGACCCGGGGCCCTCTGAACCAAGTGGTTTTGCCGCCAAATGGCACCACATATAGCGGTTATGGCCAGAGCCAATACGCTCCTTAATGGCATTAAATCCTTGAGATATGAATCAATAGGATATGATTGATAGGGCACAAAGCCCTCTGTTAGCTAAGGTGGATTCAAATTTGTCCCCTTAGACAAACATTCAACCCCAGTCTACAAGGTCCCCTTGGACGAAGCAACCCATGGCTGCCGACAAGGATTCTTCTGTCATGTTGGGTCGACTACCTCCTCTGGCTAAGTAGACCAGGGACCACGATGGCCCGGGACGACGGAACCATGGATCTTGATCGGGTCCATCATCCATTCCCCCACCATCCGCTTTAAGTGATAGATGGTGAAATTTCTTATTTTAAATATCAAACTCTTCAATTCCCAACCAATTTTCCAAACATCCAAATTCGTCAAAATTTTCAAATTTCCAAATCCAATCGTTGCTGCTACTATATGCTAGATACACGTATCATCTACGTATCTGATTGACGACTATCCTTAATCGAAAGTTCTCTCTCATTATTGGGAGGGGTAATTAACTATAGGGGCTTGCGCCTATAGGAAATCAGAACTCAGATCATAAAGTCCTCACAAAATGAGGGCGAAATCTCTGGGTAGTGTCTTATCTACAAACCCATCTGCCTTCCAAAATTTACCCCGGAACTTATTCTGTTAAAACTCCCTCGCCGAATAAAAATAGAAAAGCGCGGCGGGGAGGCCGGGGCTGAATTTTCGGAGCCCTCACAAGTCTTCAAATGGATATGAATTTATTTATTCATGCAATGCATAAGAGATGCATTTTCATATTTCATAATTGGAATTATCTTAATACAATTAACATTTTAAATGAATCAATTGACATTGCATGCATCAAGAGTTTCTAGCATTTACTTTTGTAATTTATAATTGCAAAACTTACTTTTTATGACGAATTGCCTCTTCCACTTTTACACCACTGAACCTTTTTCCTTTGATAAACTATCTCAAATTCTTCTCTCCTCTCTTTCAATACTGTCTATTATTCTTTTCTTCTATTCTTTCTTTCAAATGTTCCAAAACACCACACAAATCACTGCTCCTTTTCCTTCACATCCACAAATTCCCTTCAGCCGCATTCTTACAATGTCTAAAACACTGCGGAAAACCACACAGCAACCACTGTGTCGAAAATCTCCTATGCCGAATACTCTATAGAAATTCCTGCATTGCACTATGCCAAAACCTCCCTCCAACCAATGTGCCCAATTCTGTATGCAAAAATTCCACTGTGCCGCCTATATGCTACAGGTTTTCAGCACTGTGCCGAAGACTTCTACAGTGTCGCGGGAACTGTAGCGAGCCGTGCTACAGTAGATTCTGCGATTCCTTCAGTTTACAAACGGCTACAGTGATTTCTACGATTCCTTCTTCAGAATACTGTGCCGATGTCCCTTTATTTGCGCTGGTCGAAACCTTCTATTGCTATGAAATCTTATCTACAAGTGGGACCCAAGCAACTGCCAACCTACAACATTTCTTTAAAGCCAAATAACGTTAAAATGCCCAAACGTTGCATGCTTTGGATGGCTGAGTGGAAATTGTTTGGGTCTTACATATAACAGTGAAATCTTGTAACAATGCAATCATAAAGATGATTAAAATTCTTTCTCATACATCAACTAATATAGAGAAATAATTACTAATCAATCTCGTCATAGTTGTCTCGCATATATTATAATTGGGTTGTCATTATGGTTCTTGCATCCATACAAATTCTAGATAGTGGCAACAATGAAATCGTCCATACAAATTGTAGATAGTGGCAACAATGAAATCATGTAACAAAAAATTTTAGGGCAAAGAAGAAGAGGGAATGGCCAAAGAAAATCAAAAGTCAAGGAAAAAGTGGGCAACTTTTGGGAGAGCTGTTGGAGGCAGAAGAAAGAAATTCATGAGGTTATCTTTTTCTAAAGCATTTGCCTTGTTCATCTTTAGAGCCTTCATTCAAGAAGCTTGGGTATCATCTAATAATGGGGATGTAGAATCTATGGTTGAAGTATGTTTATGTGAGTTGAGCAAGTGTTATACTAATAGACCAAAGAGCCGTAGCTCAAGTGGTATATTTCATTGTTCTTAGTGTAGAAGTCACATCTTCAAATCCGTCATGTGACTTTTTGAAATTAAAAATTGAATAGATCATTATATTGGAACTCGATTAGCAACTGGCATTGCATCTGCTTTTAATTAATAAAATATTTTGGATATCCTTGAAAACTGTTATACTAATAAGCAGAAATAAATTGCCATCCCATGATAGTAATATCATTGATTATGATGGTTTATAATCAAATTTATACATTTATTGTAAATTTGTAACACACCTTATTTTGCGAATGCAGTCTATTAAGGTTCATATGCTATGTTACTGTCAAATTGGTTAATCACTTGGGTGGCTTACTATTGGCAGGATAGGTACAGAACATGAGAAGTTTGGCTTCGAAGTTAAAACACTTCGCCCTATTAGCTATGAACAAATTGCAGCCTTGCTAAATGGAATTGCTGAGAGATTTGAATGGGACAAAATTATGGAGGGGGACCATGTCATTGGACTTAAACAGGTATGAAGAATATTCTTTTTTTTTGTGTGATACCATGGGTTGATGTTTCATAACTGATAAGCCTATTCATTCATGTATGATGGGTTTCCTTAGCAGCAATCTCAAGTTGATTGTATTTTATCCGTGTTTCTTTGTCATTATATATCTTATGAGCATCTTCGTTAGCTGTCATCTCAATCATTATGTTCTTTATTATGACTTCATGAAACTAATAAATGGTGTTTCATCTTTCATGGTCAGAAACTAATATAGAGTGGTTTCCTTTATAAATTTTAATGAGAAAAAGATCAAAATGATCAATTGATTATTTGTATATGGTCTTTTTTAGTCCTCTCTATCTAATGCATTTAATTTAGTCCGTTGACCTCTTAGATTTGATTCAAAATAGTTTCTCTATTTTAGATCAGATTTGATGAGTCAAATAATCTAAAGATTAAAATGCATCATAAATAGTCTACGGACTATTTTGAACATCTTCTCAATTTAATACTTTGCATTTTATAGAATTTTGGAGACTTTTTCCCAAGTATGTTAAAGTTGTTTGAACTTCTACCCTAGATAAATTTGTTAATTTAACATGACATTTTATCTGAACCTAGGATGCACCGACACTTCTCCTCAAATAGGCATGCACTGTCCGACACGACACGCGTCCGACATGTGTCGGACATGACGAAAATGTGTCAAATAATAAAAAAAAAAGAATACAAATTGGACACGCATGTCTGATATGCGTGTCTTAGATATTTCATGAATTTTTTAAAAAATAAAATTTATTATTTAAAATTTTTATTTATTTAAAATAGATAAAGTAAATTTCTTATTTTTTATCCACAACACCAAATCAATCACCCGCACTCAATACCCTTTTCATCGAATATTCTCATCTTCATTTCTCTTGACGAGTGATGACTTTGGTTTCACAACAATGCCCGATGTCATCTCAACATTGACGTCTGATGTCGTTACAATATCGGCATTTCAGAATCATCTCAACATCAAAGTCTGACACTGTCTTGACATTGATGCTCGACACTAGTAATTTCTACACCCAACATGACAACTCATCTTTGTCCGATACCGTATTAACATCGACGACTAATGCCCTCTCAATATCGATAATAGATGACCTCTTGACATCCTAATATTAATTATTTTAAGCACAATTCTAATTAAATGATTTATTTTTTCTAAATTATTTTTAATATTATACTTATTTAATTTTGGTACACTTTTTTTAAAATATAAAAAAATTATAATACCATGTCCGTGTCCTATATTTTCTATAATTAATGTGTTTCATGTCTGTATCATATCGTATCCATGTCATTGTGTCCGTGTCTATGCATCATAGCTCTGAACAGATCTGTGGTAGGGAACATTTTTTTTTTTCATGTGCTATATTCTAATAACAAATATTCTTTTTGTCCTTGGACAGGGAAAGCAAAGTATCTCACTTGAACCTGGTGGCCAGTTTGAGCTTAGTGGCGCACCCCTTGAAACTTTGCATCAAACCTGTGCAGAAGTCAATTCACATCTTTATCAGGTTAGTAACACTTCTTCTTGGCATGTGTTGTCCTTTTTACATGTTTTTTAACAATTATTTGTTCCATAATCAAGGGCATGCTCTTCTTGTTTTTTTCCAGCCAATTTTTAGTTGGTTGTCTTCAATCCTTGTATATTTATTGTGAAACTTGAAAGTACTGTACATTGTTTTTATTGGAAAAAGTGGCTTCTTAGTTAAAAGTTCAGAGATGGTGTTGCTTCTAGATTTAGAAAAGAGATTGTATAGTGACCGTTCAATTTGTTAGGGCCGCATAAATTTGTTTGGCTTATTTAATGATTTCCTATGCATTTGGAGTATAGACTATTGGGTTGGCTGTAGACTCCATTTTCATGCATGCGTTTGATTAATTGGATTTGTTCTACTAATCTAGTTCCGGTCTATCACATGGTTGCTTGTTTGATTTTTCTGATTGCCATTCAATGGAGGGATATTTCATGTTGCATTGGTGATAGAAATATCAGATGTTGAAGTTCGATAGAGTTGGTTGCTTTATTTACACCTACAACAATCATGCGTCTAAAAAGTATGGCAACACTTTTCTTCCTCCTTATCGTGAACATGCAAAGAAAATGTATTTGTATTCTTGACCAAATTTTGCTATAACATACCTGTTTGTCACTTAGAAAGATAAATTTCAAATTAAAACATCCTAAATACTATAGTTTGTTTCTATAAACCATTTAATTAAAAAATATCTTCTTTTGCAATTTTATGGGGGCCATTTTTTGTGAGATATGCTAATATAAAAGTTATGAGTTTTGAATTCCTTTTGAGCTGAGGCAAATTGGTAACAATTTCAGCCATTTATTTTATTTTAAATGATAGAAATTTATCTCATTTATTCTAAAAAGGGGCATAAGGCTGGTTACAAAATTTTTAGAAGTGTCATCAAAGGGGGCAAATTCTTGGCACAAGGGCCAAATGAAAATACATATGATATTGTTGGAGAATTTTTGTATACTCAAACGGATTGCATACTTTATAATTGAGCACGGCATAAGAATAATGATATATTACCTCGGAGGGTAAAAATATCATTTCCTTGTGGACTCAATAATAAAATTTATAATTTGAAACAGAGATTCCCCCATTCAATGTTTGGTTGAATGAGGTTTATTTATTTCTAGGGTACAGACGTCCCATAGGGGCAAGCCCCTATGGTTAATTAGATTCCAAACTTTGGCTTGAGAAAACTTTTGATTAAACTAGTGGTTTTCTTTTCTTTTTGAAGTCATTTAAACTTTGACTAAATTTAATTTTTGAAATTCAAGAAAGTCTTGTTTAAAGGTTTTGGCCCTTTAGGAAATTCAAGGAGGAGATCAACTTAGAATCAGATTTTGGGAATGAAGGCCATGGGAGGTGAAGTAGGAGCACTTGTTTCTTAGAAATCTCAGAGGTGCTCAGACTATTCTATGTTGGGCTTTATATTTTATAAATCTAATTTTAGTTTAAGTTGATATTTTTATTGGAAAGTTAGGATACATTCCAACAACATATGTTGAAGGAATTGCCCGAAAGGTGAGGCTTATAGGGTGATTTGGAATCAACCAATGCCTCGGACCCTAAAACTAAAGTTAGAATTACCGATAGGTAGTGCCTCGAACCTAAGTCTAATGAGTGTAAAAGGATTTACGAATTACACCTCACATGAGGCATAATCGGCCCGACCTCTGGATTTACTGTCCCTCCTGGAAGGGACTACCAGCTAAACCCTCTTAATCGCTTTTAAAACCATGTATCTTGGTCTTAATGCAAATGTAGAGTGGAAGGCTAGTTTTTTTATTTAGGAAGTAGGACTTATAGCTTGGCTTTGAGGCCAAGATGCCTATTTATGTGGGTATGCACATGTTGACTCATAAAGAAAAGATTTTTTTCTCTAGTCCTTAAATGAAGGTTTTCTATGTGCAACATATTTGGGCTATGCATGTTTATTTTCAATTTTGGAAAACTTAGCTCCTTGAAGGGAGCCATGCAATTTTCTTATTTAGAAAACATAAAGCCTAATTTTATTTTTTAGATTGTTTACATTTTAATGGGCAGAAAATTTATTTTTATCCTAAGAGCCTACTGCACATGGTTTAAAATTGCGTAATATGAGGCTCGCCTTTGCGCAATTCTAGTAAAAAACGCCTCGATGCTTACGCCTCGAGTTTTTTTTATGAGCCTTGCACCTCAACTTGGTTGAGGCCCGCCTCGCCTCACTGACATGAGGCTTATGCCTCACGCTATATATATATATATATATCTTGAAGTAAATGTCCGACATTGAACTCTATAGTAGATGAAGGGGAGAGAGAAGTTCATTATAATGATGATTCAAATGAAGAACCCTTTAGTGATGACAGTGTTGATGACTTATGAGTTCTTATGTGATATGTCATTGCTATTTGTTTTTGGAAATTGGAATTATATGTTAATAAAAAGAATACTGGGATTTAGGAAAGATAGAATTTTGAGATATATATATATATATATATATCAAATGTAAGGAATTTAAACAGAGTCTAAATTATTACAACCAGATTTGGAAGCTGAGTTGCCTGCCATTATACAATCTAATCAAATTATTACAGACTCTACTTGTGGGTCTTCAAGCTTTACTTTTCAAGTGAACCTCAGGCCTCACCTTCTACAAGTACATCCATTTGATTCACCTTCTTTTGATCCAGACCCCCCCCCAAGTCTAATACAATTCTAATTCTATCATGTTTAAAAAGAAAAGTGACTCAAATTTGCAATAGATTAGAAGCAGTTTATATAATAAAACATCACATCCAGAATTTTGTTTAGCACTTAGAGTGCCAAACATCTGCTTCTATCCTATTGGCCACATCTTTTGGGTGGTTTTAAATAGCACATGTTATACAAGCAATTTATTATTTATGAGCACCTCACTTTTAGATATGGCCACCTGCAAGAAGAACATGTATATTTCCACACTATCCACTTAAGGGAAAGTGCCTACACACAGACAATCCAAGGGAAATCACACCAAATTATCAATCACATGCGCACAAAAGAAAAAATCCTAGTCCTAGCATGCTTAAGGGCTGTGCATCTAAGTGTGTGAGGCCTGTGTGGCATGTCACATTAAGGGTGTTTGATTTTATTTTGGAATGAAGATGTTTAATCTTTATCCAAGGGTGGTTCACTTTAAGTTGTTTGTCATAGGAAAGATTACTTGAATTGGTGAAATGAAAATGATTACTTAGATTTTGGGTCTAAGAAAGATGTCCAGCATATAATTTTTGGACTACATGTGGAAGAATTCTCCTTAGCTTTTGGAGCTAAGAAGAGAAAGATATGAATCCAATATTTAACTTTTGGGCTAAATGTAGGAGAACTCCCTCTAGCTTTTGGAGCTAAAGAGGGGAAATATCCTACAACTTTGGAGTTGGAGGAGAGTTGGGAACTTATAGCTTTTGGGTTAGGATATGATATCTTTTAAGGCCTTTGGAACCTATAGAAGTGAGGGAAGATTAGTAGTTTTGAGGCTACGAATCAAAAGGATGTTTCCTTGAATTTTTGTATTCAAGGATTTAGGTTTTATTTTCTTAATTTGGATTAGACAAATAAAGGTGAGTCATTTATTGATTTTAGCTTAATAGGTGATAAAGATTTGTAACCTTGGGGTTTCAAATCAAGAGGGATTATAGGTAAACTTTTATGTTTAATGATGAATATTTAATTGTTTAAATTTGGATTAAGAAAACATAATAGAATGATGTGTAATTTTGGCCTACATATCAAGGATTCTTTGGACTTTTGGGTGTCCAAAAAAAAGAACTCATTCACTTAGTTTGGGTTAGGAGAATGGAAGAAAGCTAGGAGTTTGACCCTTTTGCTTGATATGAGATTATTTGTTAAATTTGGTTCAACAAATTCATGATTTTGGATTGAACTACTTGTTAATTTTGATTAAACAACAAATAGATGATTTTCATGTTTCTAATTCACTCAACATGGGTTGAATGAATAAGATTTTCATACAACTTTTGAGTTGTAGAAATGAAAGAACTTCTCTTCAAATTTGGTTTGTAGAGAATAAAGGGAGAAATGCAACTTGAGGTTGCAAAATGGAATATTTTCTTTGAACATTTGATGTTCAAAGAAGGGGACATTCACCCATCTAATTTGAGTTAGTGGGATGAGAGGAATTCCTACAATTTTTGAGTTGTAAAAGCGAGGGAAGGAACATGCTACTTGTGGGTCGCAAATCCATAAATGTTCCTTGAACTTTTGATGTCCAAAGAGGAATGTACATTCTCATAATTTAGAATCTTAGGAGAATGAGATAGTTTCCCACAACTTTAGAGTTGTAGGAAAGGAGAAGTGAAGTGCAACTTGTAGGTTGCAAGTTAGAGGAATCCCTTTGAACATTTGGTGTTCAAAAGGGAACGATACACATTCACTTAATTTAGGTAAGTGAATGGGAAGGTTTTCTACACTTTTCGTTTGGTAGAAGAAGGAAAGCATGTGCAACTTAAAGGTTACACATTCATGAGTGCCCTTGAACATTTGGTGTTCAAAGGGGAATAACCATTCCCGTAAATTTGGGTTTAGGAGAATGAGAATACTTTCGACAACTCTTAAGTTGTAGAAGAGAGAAGCAACAAGTAGCCTTTGGATTGCATGCCTTGGACATTTGGTGTCCAAGAAGGAGTATTCATTTGCTTAAATAGTGGCTAAGCAAATGAGGAAGGCTAGAATTTGAATCCTATGTCTAGGGGATTACTCATTAGTTTGTGTTCCAACAAATAAATGATTTAGGTAAACTTGAGCATGAAGGCTTATGGGTCTTTGAGGGCCCATGTCATATCTCAAGCCTACTTCAAGGTTAGATAAGCACATTTGGTTAATTGGATGTAAATCAACAATGACTATCACTTGTGTGCTCTAAATTTAGTAAAAATATCGATCATAAATTTGGTTGGTCATAGACATTGTGAGGTCTACAACATAGACCTTTGAGGATCTATGAAAAAACCCACAAAGATTGGTTGTTAGTGATATTGTTTCCAACCAAACACATTCACATTCATTAACTTGTAGAGACTATCAATTCCTACATGCAAACTCTCCAAAGTTTATATCAATTTTGCCATGACAAAAAAAATGGATAGTTTGCATGCTAGAGGATCATTCACCATCATTCTTATCCATGAGAATTAAGAGAAGCAAAGCATATTGAAGTAATTCAAGAACACATAAGGGGTGGCTTATGGGTCTTTGGAAACCCACATCTACCCCAAGTTTGCCCTACAAATTAATTGAACAAGCTTAGCAATCTCCCAATAATTTTAGAAGTATGCAATCCTTAGAGAAAGAGACCTACACTATTTTATTTAGATCAATTTTAGCATAATCTAAATTCTAAGCAATATGCAATTGATTTGGCCAAATGCATAGCCTCCAAATTTGGGTGCTATGATGATGAAACCTAGGTTTGTTATAGGCGACGGTTTGAACACAATATGAATGCTATTACATGCATTTGAGAGGTGTTGGATATCAATCCAATACCCCTACACACGTTGGCATGCCTCTTTGACTCTCACGAGAGAGCAAACAAGTGAAAAAACTAGTTTTTTTACTGTTTTGCGAAGAGGACAGCGCAAATAGGTTTTGGGGAGGAAAACAAATGAGGTTTCTAAGGGAGCTATGGCTTGGGACGTCAACCACACATCAATGGCCTTGGGGGACCCTAGGTTTCACTAAGTTTTAGGATTTTACCTCACCTGGGTTGTCCTAGCGCTCCAATCCAAGCTCCAAAGTTGCTCCAAGCCACTCCGATTCAAGCTCCGGATTGCTGTCCAAGCTCCAATCCAAGCTCCAAAGCTGCTCCAAGCCACTCCAAGGGAGGCAGATCGCTGTCCAAGGTGTTCCGGATGTCGCCGCCGCTGTCCAAACATTCCAAACAGCAATTTTCACTGTTTGAGTGCTCCCAGAGGTCGTCGTTTGCTGTCTAAACTCTCAAAACGGCAGTTTTCACTTTTTAGAAGCCTTTGGAGGCCGCGTGGTTGCTGTCCAAGCATTTCTGGATGACAAATCTGCTGTCCAAGAAGTTCTGGACTGCTGTCTTGGCTGTTTGGAGGTCGCCGGAGTTGAAGGAAGGGGTGGAAAAGGTCTTCACAGCAAGTAAACAGCCTCCAAGTGCCTCTACTATCCTCCAACACTTCCCCTTTTGCTTGAGAAGAGGAATTGAGCGAGTTTATGCTCTTCCACTTGGAGGAAAGGAGGAAAACAGAGAAAGATTTTTCTCTTTTGGTCCAAGGAAGAAGAAGAGAAAGCAAGGGAGCACACAAGAGGTTCTTCTCCTCTTCTTCTCACCTGGATGGACGGATGAATCGTAAACAGAGAGCCCAACAACTCTCTCCTCCGCTTCCCCTTCCTCTGTCTGGCTTGCGACTGACTGAGAACATTCAGGAGAGCTGAATGGCTCGCCCTCTCTTCCATTCGGCTAGGGACGGACAAGCTCCGCTCCTCTCTCCTCCTACTGCGCCTGGAGACGCACGCACAGGGGGCGAAATCACCTTTCCAGTGCCCTCTTCTTTTGCTCGGGATGGACAAAACACGCATGGGGGAACCAAATGGCTCCCCCCCCACTCTCCCTTTCGTTTCTTAGAGGCGTACCAGCCTAGCAAGGCACCACCCAAGTCATCCCATCTCGCTGCCTCGTTGCGCAAAACGAGAGAAATTCTACTTGAGTAGATTTTTTGCGGGATTTGACACAAATTTGGGTTGAACTGAGATGAGATCTCAAGCCTAAGTCTCAAATTCAGCCCAAATTGACAAATTAGGGCTGAAATTGAGTTCGAATCGAACTCGACTTAGATCGATTTGGGTCCGATCGAGTCAATTTTGTGAAATTGAACTCGAATCGGCGCCGAATTACGTCGAATTGAGCTCTACGACGCTCGACGGGATTTGATTGGTTTTGATTTGATTTTAATTAAATTAAATCGAATTTAATTTGACTAAAACAAATTTAATTTAATCAAATCGGGGTCTAATTTGAGTTGATTTTGCCTCGACGATGATCGATTGGGTCGATCGAACACGATCGAGCTTAGTCGGGCTCGATCGGGATCGGGTCGATACGAAAATGTTCGTCAACAGATATTTTTTCAAGAAATGAGCATGGCTTGAGGAATAGATATCAAGCTCATGAGCTCTTTATTGAGGTTCACTAGGCCATAGTTTGATTCATATGAGTTCAGCATTTAGTTTTTTCCTAAAATTGGTTTCAATGGGGTTCCATTTGTTTCTTTTCTTTCACTTGTTATGTTGCAAGTTATGTTTCTTCCAGAAGTTAGGATTTGATTAGTTCTTCCTTTTCTTTGTTAATTCAATGTATTTTTCTATTATCCTTGCAATGCTATTGTTTATGTAACTCTTAGCATTCTCTGTTGTCCATCTATTTTGCAATTGTTTGTCCTCTTTCTTTTTTTTCTTTAGTTTTTCTGAAGAATCGGCCTCAACCTTTCCTAATTTTGTCCTTACCTAACTAAATGATCTTTGCCTAGGACAGCTTTCTTTACCTTACAGGGGATACTAATTTTCTCGGAAACATTTTGGCCACATTGCCTCAAGAATCAAATTATACTGCCAAAGCATTTTTTAATAGGAGAATTCTAATTCGATCAATCCCAAGCTACTACATATCATCTAGGCATTTCTTAGTTGTCATTTTTTAAAGTTTGACTTCTGTACGTAACGTTGCCTGCAATTTTGATTTATGTAATACTGTACATTGATTAGTCTCATAAACTTTCCTCTATTATGCCTAACTTTCGGTTTGTTATTTAGCAGCACCTTCATCATATTTTCCTGTTTAAGTTTTTCAAAATGTATTATATCGACAAGAGTGGTGTTGTCTTTCATATCAACAAAGGAGTAATTGAAATACGTTTGAGATACTATTGGTATGCAGTTTTCACGTAGTTTTACCAGAATTCTCCAACATTTATTAAGTTATTGATACACTGAATAAATGGAAAATATTGTTCAAGAAATTGTACTTTCTTTTAAATTTTTGAAGGCTAGGCTTCCATGTGAGTTGATTCCTGGCTAAAATATTTTTTTTGGGCTAATTATTATCTGAACTTTGGAGTTTGGACAACGTTAGACAGACATCATATGAACATCTGATGCTGTTTCTGTTAATATCCACTTCATCTTTAAAATTTGTTTTAACTAGTCAGTTTATTTATGAATGATAAATTAGTAGGAGTTCAATGGCCTTTATACTGAATCAACTATGGTATATTGTTAAATAGGTAAAAGCTGTGGCTGAGGAAATGGGCATTGGTTTCTTAGGAATTGGTTTTCAGCCAAAATGGGCGTTGAAGGATATTCCTATTATGCCTAAGGTATCTTCCTTTTATTATTCATTTTTTGATCCTTAATGTCCTTTATTCCTCATTTAAGTTTTTTTTCATTGCTGTATCTTTTATGAAACATTTTCTATTCACACTATCATGACCCAACCCAAGAGCTTGTATTATGATAAGAAAACTTGTAGATCTCAAGTATTTCCTATCAATATTCGGAAAATAGCCAGAATTCTCCACAAAAGCCACAGAAAACCACGAAAACAGTAGATAATTTGTATTATTTGATGAAATAGAAATGGAAAATAGCAAGATATAGTTGATCCTCAATTCGAGATGAGGATCGATTTTTCTCAAATTTTCTAGACGCCGCTAGAGCCCAAAGGAAACCTAAACCTAAGAGATCTCAAATTTAAGCCAAATTCAAGATGCCCTAACCCTAGGAAAACAAACTATTTAATGCATACAAATCAAAAGGAAACCCCTAAACAATCCTTACATTCAAATTTCCCTCCTACTTTCTTCAAAAATCCTTCCTAAATCTGATATAGGAAGATCAAGCGTCGGATCCTGCATACAGGAGGCGAACACTTCCGCCGTTGTTTGCGTAAGCCAGTCCCGTCGGACCGGCTGGACCACTCTGACAATACTCCACTCCCAAAGATCCACCTTGTCCGCAAGGTGGAAATACGACTCCCTCCTCCATTCTTTCTTCATCACAAACGGTAAGAACCTAAAGAGTTTGGTCCTTACACCTATGCTCCCGACATATACCTCTTGTCACATCTGAAATAGATCTCCTTCGCCCTCTTCTCCTGTAAATTTGTTTTTGTGAGCTTGTTGAAGTTGCCCCCAGGTCTTCCTCTGGCAATCTTCTCCTTCTAAGTCTCCCTAAGAGTACTCGGTGTTAGCTCCTTGAGTGTAAAAAAGATGGTGGTCATCCTGTATGAGCCTCCTGAACTGCTGCCTCCTGCTCTTTTTTCCAGGTGCCTCTGATCCTCCACCAATTGAGCTAGCTCCATAGACTCTCCTAAGTCCCAATGTCTCATCACTCTAATTACTGCGCGGATCTTGGGTTTCAGTCCTTTTATACAGTTCCCCTCCAGTATAGTCTCTGGAAGCCGATCCAATCGGCTGGCAAGGTATTCAAATTGCTCATGGTACTCCATTGCCCCCTCCTGCATCAAAGCGAAGAACTGCTCGTAGAAGTCCCCTCCCCTGCTAGTTTGGAAACGTTTGAATAGACAATCCTTAAACTCTCTCCAGGTCCTTATTGGTCGCCTCATATCCCTCCACTGGTACCATGCTAAATGTCTCCCTTCCAAGCATATCCCGGCTGCCATCAGTCTCTCCCCCTCCATTAACCTGTTGACGGTAAAGTACCTTTCCACCTTGTAGATCCACCCGTGGGCATCCTCTCCCTCAAAGTAGGGATCTTTAGCTTTTCACCCTCAGATAAACTCCGTTCCCTTTGTTCCCTTCATAACTTCCCATTCCCCAAGGGGGTGATTCCCCTTAAGTGTCCTAATCATCCCTTTTATGTTCATACCCCTGTCTTTCATCAAATTCCCACATTCTCCTATCAAATTTAGCACCCCTTGGATCATAGCAAACCCATCCACTTTCAAATTTAGCCCCCCCTTTGGTCATAATTATCCATTTCCCTTTCCAATCTCGCCCCTCTCCTCTCCAAATCAGCACATCTTTATTCTTTCCCTATCTCCTCACGCCTCTCCTCATATCCTCTGCCCGGCTCCTCCTTAGGAATAGGCTCTAGGAGAGGTATTCTCTCTTCTCTCTTTTGAGTCACCACCTCTTGATCTTTCCTTTGCATGATTGGCTTCAGGTTTTTCCCATCTCCCTGGCTGTAGGCGCCTTCCTTTCCCTTCGATGGTGATATTTTGGTTTGACCATTGAGCACTTTCTTCAACATCTCCTTCAGGATGGAAAATTTTGAATCGAACTTATCATGGATGGCTGAAACATCCTTTTTTAAATTTGAAACTTGAGTATGGGGATATGAAATTTCAAATTTCACTTGTCCAATCTCAACTTAGAGGCGTTCCTCCAACACATCCATTTTCTTGTCCGCCATTAATGCCCGGATTTTGGTAGAAATGTAAATCTGGACTTCGACCTTCAAAAACAACAACTTTCTTCTTTGAAATCCCAAGAACAGCCACTGAAATTTAGCAAGACAACCCACCAAAGGTCCCAAAAAAAGCTCTAATACCAATTTGATAGAAAACACTTATAGATCTCAAGTATTTCCTATCAATCTTCGGAAAACAACAAGAATTCTCCACAAAAATTCACACAAAATCACGAAAATAATAGATAATTTATATTATTTGATGACATAAAAATGTAAAATAGGAAGATACAATTGATCCTTAATTCGAGAGAAGAATCGATCTTTCCCAAATTCTCTAGACGCCGCTAGAGCCCAAAGGAAACCTAAACCTAAGGTTCTCAAATTTCAGCCAAATTCAAGATGCCCTAACCCTAGGAAAACAAACTATTTAATGCATACAAATCAAAAGGAAATCCCTAAACAGTCCCTCCATTCAAATTTCCCTCCTTCCCTCAAAAGTCCTTCCTAATCTGATCTAGGAAGATCGGGCAGTTGGATCTTGTGTACAGGAGGTGGAGACTTCCGCCGTTGTTCGCGTAAGCCGGTCCCGTCGGACTGACTGGACCGGTATAATAGATTACCAAGGCAGGTATAGTCGGTTGGACAATTATTTAATTCTTTTTAATTAATATTAAAAGTAATCCCATAGAAAAATCTTCCAAATTATAAAGAGCCACTAAACGAAAATGTTTTGTTCATATTCAAACCATAAACAAATCAGTTCTATTTCCTATATCTCAAACAACTAACTAAAATCAAGTATATAGGATTCTTAAATATCTATTTTCATATGCTCCTCTTCTCATATATACAAATTTTCTAGCTTTGTAGGCTAAGAGAGAGAGAGAAAATATATATATATATATACATATAATTTTTCCTTTGTTACCCATTTAATTTAGAGGAATCTTTCTGAAACATCAAAAATTTATGACGGTTTGAGTCATAGAAAAACTTAGTGGCAATTATTGTTCTATAATATAGTAATATGAAAAATAAAAAATGATACATGTATCATGTAATAACATCTTTACTTTCCAATTTTATCAATGAAAATTTTAAAATATTCTGATTTACTCATTCCTCAAATATATACTTCACACAATAATCAGTCTTCTCTTGACTAGCTCTATTCCTAAACCTCAAAATTCAAACATTATTTTATAAAAAATAATATAATATTTATCAATGAGACTAAATCCAAATCTTGGTTGCTTACCATATCTCAAGTCAAGTCTTCTCAAAAGATTGCTCTCGGTCCCCCTTTTCCTATAGTGTTCAAGCAGCCTCTTTCTTGTCTAACACTTTGATCAGAGTCATGTATGAATTAAACAACAACGTGCAGGATTTATTGTTTTATAAATAAAATATGGGTTAAACCTGACCCTTATGCTTGGAGAAAGAAAAAGGAACCCTAGCTCATAGCTCAGGTTCATGCATAAAAAACTCGGTGAAATCCCCTGGCCGCCACTTACTTGCCCTCTTCCTCTTTCGATGACTGCAGTTGTGTCCTAATCTCATCACTCAATCTCTAACTCTCTCTCGCTCTCTCTCTCTCCTCATTTCTCTCTCTCTCTCTCTCTCTCTCTCTCTCTCTCTCTCTCTCTCTCTCTCTCCCCCCCTCCATCTTTCCATTTATATAGCCTGCAGCTCACAAGTAAGCCATTGCTAACCTCAATCTTCTTTTTCCTGCTCATTTGCTTTCCCCCTTTCTATCTCTATATGTCAGTCTCTCACTATTTTTGTGGATTGCCTGCTGCTCTTCGTCGTGCTTGAGCCCCTTCTCCATGTCTACATGAGACAGAACTGGCTTGCCAATTCCTTTGAACTGACACAACTGATTCAACATTTTTTTCCTGTATATATATATATATATATATTATATATATATATATATATATATATATAAATGAATGCTAGGCTTTTTTCTGTTTCTAGTATTATACTTTACAGGCCCATAGTTTCCTATTTCCATGTGGTTAGGATGTCTTGTGCATATTTTAAATGGGCAGAGTGTTTTGTATCTCAAAACATGTTTTACTTGAATGCCGAGAAGTTTTCAACAGGGAAGGTACGAGATAATGAGAAACTACATGCCAAAAGTTGGGTCTTTGGGACTTGATATGATGTTCCGCACCTGTACTGTTCAAGTAAGTACCTCGTTGATTAGAAGAATGGCATCATGTATTGAGGTTTTCTTGCAGATAAATATGATCTTTATCAAATCCTTGTTAGATTGGTGGTATTAGAATTATGTATCAGAGTAATTACAGATGAATTCATGCCTAAGCATTTTGTTTGTGTTGCTAGGTCAATCTAGACTTCAGTTCTGAATCAGATATGATCAGGAAGTTCCGTGCTGGTCTTGCTTTGCAGCCCGTACGTGCTCATCACTTATTTGTTTGATTTAACACTCAAATCTCTTTTAGTTTGATCTTATATTTGAACCAGATCGCAACTGCAATATTTGCAAATTCACCATTTACTGAAGGAAAACCAAACGGTTTTCTAAGCATGAGAAGGTATCTGCCACATAATATACCTACTGTTTGCTTGCTTTTCTCTGACTTGTTTGAGCAACATCTTTCTCATTATTTAGTTGTTTACTCTTTCAGCCATATCTGGACTGATACTGATAACAACAGGGCCGGAATGCTTCCTTTTGTTTTTGACGACTCTTTTGGGTAACATTATGTTTTTAATTGCATGTTTATTGAGCTCACTCTCGTTGTCTCAGGATGAAAAATATTTTTGGCTAAAGATCAGCTTTAACATCCATACAAAACTCCCAACCCATAAATTTAAAGTAGAGGGACCTGACAATTCTTGAAATCCCTCTCGTTTTTCTTATGCAAGAGCTTGTGGTATATGCGACATTGCTGCTGCTGCTTTTTCTGATGGAGTAGACTAGGTAACTCATGATTAATGGCTTCCAACTAACAAAATTTTTGCTCATTAACATACCTTGAAAATCCATGTCATGCTAAGGCTTGACATTAAAATTTGTAAAAACTGTAAGCGATGTAAATTACATGTTTAGACAATTTGCCACATGAGATTTAGGGGATTAGTTAAATATTTGTTTATTCAAATGAGAAGAAATGGTGCCTCTTTTATTTAATAAAAAATCCAACACACATGACATACTACCTCCGAAAGACAATTAGGTGATGCAAACATCAAATTTTATATTCGTTCGAAAAACAGGATCTGAGTTTTGAGACAAGAACACTCACATTTTGAGTTCTAATGTTATTGTCAGAACTCAGTCCAGATGATTCGATTACTAAGTGGGAAACATATGGTTGGAAGCGGTTTTAAATTACATTTACTGACATAAAATAATATCAAAATTATTTTTATAAATTTTCATATAATACAAGTTCCAATACATGGAAAGAACTACTAAATCTCAAAATTCAATATATTTCAAAATAAAAGAAAATCTACTATATTTATTTCAGCATATAGAAAATTTAAATATCTATTACTTCAAGCTCTTCATCAACGGTTCACAAACTATCTTCTCTTACTCATTCAGGCCATAGAATCATTTATTGTGTATATGTAGCATATGTGAGTTTAATTCAGTGGGTATATCATAGTTCTAAATACTAGTAAATCAATTGAAAATGAAGTAACATGCATGCCAGTCATCAGTTGGAATTATGAGGAAATCTAAAATGTGTTTATCATTTGAATATCAATTATAATCATAAACATTGCTTAATAGTTAAAGTTATATATATTTATACAATAATTACATTCATCATTCCATCAAGAGCTTTTCATATCTTAATTTAGACATTACTATTTATAACATATCCATCTCAAGAGTACCTTCCATATGTAAACAACCCTTGACTAATGCACCTCATTGGCGCAGCAGGACATTAGTCATTCTTTTATTATTATCTTAGGTGGAAAATAAAAAAATCATAAACTTGTGGATGTATTAGTAACCCCAACTAATACCATGAGAGAGTGAACTCCATCTGTCAATGTACATATAAACATTCTTATATACATCGTTTCTTTTACACTATTTTTAGCATGTAATATGTATTTAGGAGGAATTACTATATAGCACAATATAAATAATGGTAACATGATATGCTATGGAAAAGATAGATCATTGTAAGCTATTTGCAATCATGGTTTGATAACAATAAATGATCTCATATATATAGATGAACAAGAATCATAATCAATTAAGCACAATAGGTCTAGAAGAAAGGCAATATTACTTTAACTAAGTACTATGATCACCCACCTTGGCCTGAAAAGATTGGATCCATCAAGTAATCCTTAAACGTGGTCTTTCTTAGCTTTATAGTTATATTCACATTTGCAATTACAAATATGGTATTTATAATGGTTAACTTGATTTTTTTCTTTAATCGTAAAATCTTTATAACTATAATGTGCTTCAACTTGCATAATGAATCACTATTATTAGTGACATAACTTATGGCTAACTTCTCAATTTCTTTTAAGCATATATTATTCATTTATTTGTACTCTTCAATTATGTTAGGATTATAACTATAACAACCTGAAGTGAACTCTACATTGTAGAATAATATAACATAACCATAAGAACTATTGAATAATACCTGGTTGAACATGGATATTTAAATATATTTTACCATCATAGATTCACTTTATACGAAAGTTATTTTGTTTATTTCATTTTCATATTTGTATGATATTTTTGTTTATTTGTTATAAACATGACTATAATGATTACATTGATCTGTCCATCTAGAGCTTATCATATCTTAATTTAGTCCTTATTATATATTAATATCTTTGTCTAATGATTATCTTCTATACAGAAACCTAATTCAAATTTGGCTAACACGCCCATCAGCATAGCAAGATGCAAGTCATACTTTTACTATTGTATGAAGTGGAGGTTAAAAATTATCAATATGTGGATATATTAGTATTCTCAGCTAGTACCATGAGGGAGTGAACTCAATGTGTTAATATGTACATATAAATATTCCTATATCCATCATTGTATTTGCATTGCTCTTAGTATATAATATCTATTTTGGCGGAATCACTGTAGGGCACTATACAAATAATTGTAACATGATATGCAGCCACATATTTCATACATGTAATGAAAAGATATATCATTGTAGGCTATTTGCAGTTATGATTTTTTAACAATAAATTATCTCATGTATATAGATCAACAAGAATCATAACTATATCAATTAAGTGCAATAGGTCTAGAAGAAAGGAAATATTACTCTTCTTAAGAAATGTGATCACCCACCTTAGCCTTGAAAGATTTGATCGGCCATGTAATCCTTAAACATTGCCTTTCATAGCATTATACTTATATTGATGTCTGTAATTACAAATAAGGTATTTATAATGGCTAACTTAATTCTCCTTTAATCATATAATCTTTTTAATCCCTAACTTGTTTCAACTTGCATAATGGATCACTATTATTAGTGACATAACTTATAAATACCGTCTCAATTTCTTTTAAGCATATATTGTTTATTTATTTGTACTCTTCAATTTATGTTTGGATTACAATTATAATTACATGAAGTGAACTCTATGATGTAGAATAATATAACATAACCATAAGAATTGGAAAATATGTGATTGAACTTGGATATTTAAATATATTTAACCACATAGATTTTGTGATGTCCCAAAATTTAATTTAGAAAAATTATTCTTTTAATCTTTTAATAAGCAACAATCAGAGCTATCTAATATCATCTATCAGTAATAAACAATAAAATATATTATATAATTTAAAACATTAATGTACATATCTGTATTCATTCTCAAAAATCATATATACTACTCAAGATCTACACAAATCATATTACAACTACTTTGTCATGAGTACAAAAAATAACTAGAATAAAAAAAGTAAAACATGATGAATCCTGACCAGTCTCACACTCCTGCTCCCGTGCACTGACCTGAAATCATTTAACCACATATAATGAGTTTAAAAAGTCCAGCAGATCACCAAAACCTACAACTGAAATCAAAACACGGCAAATGAGCAATATGCACGTCAACAATCAAATTATCACTGTTACATTCATATTATCATTGAATCAATGCAAAAACAATAAAATTTATATGCAGTAGTAATAGAATCTATAAACAGTAAAATACTACAGTACGGAAGCCTGTAAAGCAGTAAACTAGTACGAATGTCAAATCTAAAAAACAATACAATCGTCGTATCCGTAATACCAATCAGTAAAGAAATCATATAAAGCATCCAATCAAAACTTTAGTAAAGATCGTTAAAATTTAATCAATGTAATAAAATCATATCAAAATGTATATATGCTATTCAGTTAATCTATATCACGTACTTAGTATATCACATGCTTAATATCAGTACAACGAATTAGTAATATCAAATAGTATCAATATCTATATCAGCATTACTAACGATCTAGTGGCAGGAGCAGCACAATATTGCAATAACATTAAATCCATACAATAATAATAAATTTGTACATTAACAAGAATAATATCTCAAAAACATGCATTTTAGTAGTCACACTAAATAAGTAAGAAGTTATGGTAATCACAATGTTTTTCAGTATTATATCAGTATCAGTAAATCGTTGGCTTAATAAACAGAGTCGTCACTCTTTACCCGTCGGCATATTAATCATCTCCTTATAACTCCTAATCAGTATCACGTAAATCAATAGATGATAACATCAAACCACAGTATTTAAAGGAAAGCTCGTCGGCTCACCATCCTGTAAAGATCAATTAGTCTCCAATCAATAGGTCAACCAGTTTTTACTTGTTTTTTACACACACAGTCGTTCACAGTACAATAACCGTAATTTTAATCATATATTAACATTTATTTTCAATGCATTGCAACAAATAAAATTTAATTGAGCTTAATTTAGAAAATATCTAAAATGTCATAACGGTAAACAACAAAGAAACCTATTAGACAAAAATGCACATTTTAAAAAAATTACCAAATTACCAGGAATTATATAAAATAATGTTTTAAGACTTTTATTGTAAAATACTACTATTTTTAGACGTCAGAATAAATTTCTAGTTAGAAAAAAATTGTTGTATTTCAAAATCACTCGGTGAAAAATCTCAAATAAATACTCAAAATATTTATAATCATTATCTCTATAACATACAAAAAGTTATGAGGTGAAAATTTTACCAATAAAAAAATTATTCATGTTTTTCAGTAATGGAAATACAAATTTGTTCAGAAGAATACAAAAAACACAAAATCTTTGAAATCAGAAATAGGGTAAAGTTCTTTATAATAAGGCGAGCAAATATCTCAACTACGTTGATGGACAAAAATCACTTCGCCGCCTCCAAATCCGAATTTCCCTTTTCTTTCTCTTCCCTTCTCTCTTTTTTTTTCTCTAAAACATCTCTATTGCCGAAATCTTAAGGAAACTTTTTAATGCCTTTAGATTTTTTTGATTAAAATATAATAAAATTATTTAAAAGAATAATATAATTTAATCACTTTCTTTAATATAAAATTCCAATAAATCATTTTAGGGCTTTAAAAATTATAGAAAAATATCCATAAAATAAATCATTTTATTTAAAAAATTTTGGTGAAATGGTTTGCAAAATGGACACCTAAGAGTTCTGAAATCCTCACTTATACTTGTTGTTACCAGTTTCTTAAGGATTTTCACCGGTGCTCAAAAATTACAAAAATAATCGTGTAAGTAAAATACTACAATCAAAATACTATGTTGAAAATGATTTGCGATTTGGAGTTATAATGACTAAAAAAAAGGCAAAATCAAAATATGGGCTATTACAGATTTGTTGACCTCCATATATAACTTTTTAAAGTTTACTCAAGAAAAAGATGAAGCGATGAATGAAAAATACGGTGTCGCACAAAAGCTGTCTAAATCATGTCGACCAATGTTGAAATCATTCAAATAACATTTGTTCGCAAAGAGAACAACATCTATGCATTTAGAACAATTAAAACAACTAAGATTGACAATTATGTTGGCAATCAATAATTTTTTTTTGTGCACCAAGAGTGTGAATGAATTTGATGCGCATGAATGACGAGATTTTAATGTGCGGATCGATGGACGGTTATATTAATATGTTCATTATTATTTTTAAATTAAAACAATAACAACATTAAACTTTTATCCCACTACTTGGATTTGGTTTAGAGTTAAATTCTTATTTAAATATAATAAAAATATTATTTTTAATACTTTCTAGTCCATCTTTTTAGGTCTAGCTCTATATTTCTTAACATAGGTCATATCTTATATATCTACTCTCTTAACCGTTTCATTGGAGGCCGATGTTTTATGTCACAAATTCATCTAAGGTGACTCTCTATTCTTATATGCCATTGGAGCTACTCCAACCTTTTCATGTATATACACATCTTATTTTTTAAAAATTATAATATTAAATATGTATATTTAAAATTAATTAAAAAATTAATTAAATAAAAAATAATAAATAAATCCTAAGTAATTATCCACTAACCCATTAACTCACACACTAAATTGGCAGCTCACCTCAAATACTCATACACACGACACCTAGTAGGCTCTTCTCCCTAGTCGTGCTTGACCCCTGCTCTCTCTCTCAATCTCCCTAATCTCCGTAGGAGATGCATGAAGCTCTGCCTATCTTGCTCTACACTGATCCTACTCCTAGTAGTTGACTCAGAATGAACAAAGATGAGATAGTAAATCATTTATATTATACTACATTACATGTCAATATAGGTCATGTGAACTAAATGTAGAGCAATTATAAAAGATATCATAACTTAATACATTATTCATAAGCTGAAGCTATCCTCAATTTTATTTTCAAAATTTTCATCTATCGAGCAATTACTAGAAAACCAAAACATGTAACTATTAACATACAACTAACTTCAAATCAAATCTTTCTTACATTTGTAAAAGTAATCATAAAATAAAAACTGAATCTTATACTATTCAGACTTAACCTTATCCTTTTACTTGTATGAATAGCTAAAATAATAATCTAGTAAGCTAAGACACTCATAAAGATATGTAACATTAATATAGTAATCAAGTATAAGAAAGAACTAATGAGCATGTGTATGAACAATCAAATCAATATGTGCATATAAGAGCATATATAAGTGACCCAAGACTACAATAACTGTAATAGGGAATATGCAAGGTATTCATCATCTATTAAGCAGCATGTAAAAATTATGCTTACTTGTGTTACATATGGCAATGGGTTTTTCCCTATCTATCCCTTTCCTAACCCATTGCATGTTATCCACTACTCTAAGACATTGCCCTTACTACAATAAATGTTAGAAATGAGCATCAATTTGATTTTTTAACTCAAGGAAGAAAACACAGAGGAGATTTCATCTCATAATTTCAAATCCTTCACAGTTCGACATATACTTTTATATATTGAATTGCTCAATTCAATGAGTAGAACACAATGACATTAAATTTGCTGAATTTTATAAAAATTGGGATTTTGTGGTATTTTTAAATTGATCCAACTATGATGTATCGACACTTTTCCTCAAAGTGGCGTGCAGTGTCCGACATTTATCTCACACAACACGGGTTCGACACACCTTCGACACGTGTCGGACATGCTGAAAATGTGTCTGATTAAAATATTATTACATACAAATTGGACATGCATGTCTTAAATATTTTATTAATTTTTCAATATAATTTTTTGTATTAAAATTTTTTATTTATGTAAAATATAAAAACTAAAACTTTTATTTCCTCTCTACAACACCAAATCATTCGCTCACACTCAATACCCCATTCATCGAATATTCTCATTTTGACTTCTCTTTGACAGGATGTAACTTTGATTTTACACCAATGCTCGATGTCATTTCAACATCGACGTCTGACGTCGTTACAACATTGATATTTCAAAACCATTTCAATATCAAAGTCTAACATTGTCTTGACATTGATGCTCAACACTAGCAATTTCTGCATAACAACTTGACAACTCATCTTTGTCTGACGTCATCTTAACATCGATGACCATCACCCTCCCAACATTAATGACAAATTTCCTCCTGACATTGATGTCTGATACTTAATGCATAACATCAATGCTGACTCTCGATAGCATTGTTGTCTCTTCTCTTTATGCCTGATATATGGTATTGACGTCTGACTCCCAACATCTTAATATTATTCATTTTAAGCATAAATTCTAGTTAAATGATCTTACTTCTAAATTATTTTTAATATTATATTTATTTAATTTTTATACACTTTTTTTAAAATATAAAAATTATAATACCATGTTCATCACATGTTTGTGTCCTATATTTTCAATACTTGACCTGTTCCCGTGTCAGTGTCGCGTCGTATCCGCGTCTTCGTGTCCATGTCTGTGCATCATAGTGATCCAAATGTGTCACATATCTGATCAAATTTGGGTGTCACACCACCTTTCTTTCTCGATTCCTTAGTGTCGCACGCAATCTAGCCTAGGCGAAACCTTCCCTCTCATTCTCTTTGCACAATATTGTGCACAAGGACAAATGGCTCCTCCTCTCTCCCTCTCGATGTTCTTTGTCTCACGCAGGACCTACACTTAGGCCGCCCAACCACCTCTCTTGAGTTTGTCCACTACCTAGATACTGGCCTGCACATGCCCTAGCCGGTCACCCTCTCACATTGCTCTTTCCCTTCTTCTCTTTCTTCTTTCTTTCCTTCTACTTCTTCCTCTTTCTACCTCCTTCCTTCTACTTCTTCTTCCAAAGGTCAAAAAGGGTGAAAATTTATTGAAATGACAAATGACTTGCTACTTCTAATGTTAGTACAACCACAATTTATTTTTGATAATCAGACGCAAATAGACATAATTTTAATTGGGTCGATCAAGCTTATAGGTTGCTTTGCTGACAGTATAATGTATTTGCCTACACAGCTCATGTTTTATTAACTATCACTCAAGTCCATGCAAGCAACATGCTTACGACAAGTTCATTAGAAACTAATTACTCCGCACGGTTGGTAACCCTGTGCAACTCTGTAAAAAAACTCAATTTAGTAAAAATAAAACCGTGTTAAGGATTGCAATAGAATTTAAATTATTTCAGTGGGGGCTCCTAAAGCTTATTTCTTCAGCACAAGTTAGTATTTTCCTAATTGAAAATTTAAATTGTAGTCAATTTTTTTAGTAGTAGAGCTTAGTCAAACCCTTTACTTAAATTTGGTATCCTTAGGAAGAATATCAAAATCTTTTAAGCAGAAAAGATAGGCAATGAAAAAAAAAGATGAATGTCTTACATAAGAAGATGAATGTTCATTTGATTTCTCCCCCCCCACCCTTTTTCAAAAATAGAAGAGTGAAATGATTCAAAGATAAACAATCAATGATTCAAACCTATAGCTCGTATATTAATTTGATTTAGAACAACTATGAAAGAATTTGAAAATATAAATAAAAAGAGTGAAATGATTCAAATATTAAAAAATGATAATGTGATCAGCTACTCTTAGGTTGAAGAAGGATGTTGCCTCTCCTGAGAGGGGATTCAATTCTCGCATTTGATCAAAGATAAAAATATTAGAATAGATGAAGAGAAAGGGTCTTCAAATAAAAAATGCCATAAACTATTTTGCAAAACTCAATTTTTTTAGTATTTATACATGGAGGAAATGATAAACCACTATGTACTAGCAAATTGCTTAAAACTTCTAAAAAACTGATAACAAATAGTTAACAAGCTTTAATGGCATAAATTTAAGTAATCTTGCTAAACAAATTTACCATGAGGTCCAGTTGACATAAAATGATTCAAATAACCTAGTTAATTACTGAAATGACTTTTTAAACCTACCCATAATCATAAAATAATAATAATAAGTAGATGTGCTGAACTCCAAAGTTGTGCGCCATCAATAGACCATTAACAATGGGAGTGTTTGATGATGAAAATCAATAGAATGGTTGACATGCACAAGCTAGTGGTATTAGTTGCCACCATTTGATGGGACATATACTTGTAGCAACTTGGCATGGCAATGATAAATTTGACCTGCAGAATGATGAATCATAGTATTTTTTGTGCTAGTTTACATTGCTGATAACTTACACACAACGAGCTGCTTGGTATTGCCACTGTTTTGAAAAGTCAATTTACAAAAAATCATATTGTTCCATTTATCTATGTATGCTACATTAAATTGCATGTAATAAGAATTATTTTGGTTTCGACTTTCTCGCTTCTTTTTTTCCATTACTATCATAAACTCTAAAATAGAAGAATTTTTCCCGTGACCCTTGTCTATCATTATTTCTTTGTCCTAGGTTTGAGGCATATGTGGATTATGCTTTAGATGTTCCCATGTACTTTGTCTACCGCAAAAAAAAGTATATAGATTGCTCCGGAATGTCATTTCGGGTTTTCTTCTGACCTCAACTACTTTCAACTATTTGTTCTTTTTAAAATTATTATTTTTTGTTTCTGACTGGATTAGTTGAAGCCTTTGAGGTTTAATTTGATATTCTTATTTGAAACCTAATATGTAAATGCTGTATCTATAGGACTTCCTGCATGGCAAGCTTCCTGCAATACCTGGGGAGCTACCAACACTTGTTGATTGGGAGAATCATCTAACAACAATTTTTCCTGAGGTTTTCTTATTTGGAAATCATGATGCTAATAATCTTCAAATAAGTATTATGGAATACTGCAAGTGTCACCTAACAATTTGTTTTCTGCTTAACTGACAGGTGAGACTGAAAAGGTACTTAGAAATGAGAGGTGCAGATGGAGGGCCTTGGAGAAGATTGTGTGCTTTGCCAGCATTTTGGGTATTCTTGATTGTTACAGTCATCATTGTTATAAATCTTATTCCCATGGATATAGGCCAGTTATATGGCACTGCAACAAACACAATAAAGATTTAAAACTTTTTTTTCACCTAGTTTGAAAATATAATCCTTTGCATCAAATTTCTGGATAGTGCAATCTCTGATAATTTGAACTCAAAAGGCTAGTCAAAGGATAGATACTAGCGTAATTGATTATGCTGCATGATCCATACTGCAAATTTGCAGACATTTAAATTTTCTAAATACAGCACCACTTATCAAGATCCACAATAATGGTTTGAAATGACAATGAAATTGCTTCACAGCTCATGCAAGAAAGGTTTCTTTGCGTGGTATAACCTTCTTATCTGATCATACCACAGCTTTGGAATGAGTGCAATTTCTGCTAATCATTTGAAATTCCATCATCTCTTTTTTAAAGCTTGTTTGATTAGTCTAGCCTGCTGTTCACCATTTGAGGGAATGCTAGTAACATGCTAAACCACTTTGTTGGAGGATTTTCTTGTTAAAATCCTAGGATGAAGTTTTACTTGCTTAGTCTTGTGTTTTGATTCCTTTGCAGGTTGGTTTGTTATATGATGAGATTTCATTACAAAGTGTTTTAGACATGACTGCTGATTGGACTAAAGAAGAAAGACAAACATTAAGGATTAAGGTGAATGCTTTGACACCATTTTTTGAGCTTCATATGATTGGTGCACTGTCGTTCATTTATATTAAAAAAAAGAGGAAAATCCTTTTCCCTATTTTAATTTTAATTTTTTAGATTAAGTTAGTTAAATTGGTGCATAGCATGTTGCTGCCATGTGCCATAGTTCGTTGTTGCATTATGTATATATGTCTTATCATCTGCATTATAAATTTGACAGCCCAAGGATTTTATTTTTAACAGGTACCAGTGCTTGGTTTGAAGACGCCATTCCGGAGCGGGCTGTTAAGAAATGTAGCAGAAGATGTTTTGGCACTAGCTAAGGTTTATTCTTTTTGTTTGCTTGGCATCAGTTTTGTGAATACCTAAAGTTGAGATTGTTTCACAGATCTTATATCATGATGCAGGATGGCCTGGAAAGAAGGCTTTGTAAGGAAGCTGGTTTTTTGAATGAAGTCACGGAGGTGGTTGCAACAGGTACGCTTCACCCGCTCACTTCAAGTTTTCCCATTTATTCTGTTAGATGAACCTATGCACTTGTTTATTGCGTTGCCTTATCTTAATGATTAAAGTGACAATATCTAATAAATTATGTTTCTTTCTTGTTAGAAATGATTATTTTACACAAAATGCATGCTATAAAGGGTTAGTAGAATTGCATTTAAAAGGAGCTCTGTTGCCATATTTTCCAAAGTCTAAACAAGGCCTAAGCCTAGTTTACTTGCCGTAATGTTTTATCATTAATTATTCCTTAAAATCTGTTATTCATAACTCTACATCGCAGTACCATTCCTGAATGTCTTACTTCATTCTTTCAAACTAGCTTGAACCTCATTTTATGCAAGGTGCAATTGTTGTCCATCAATTTTGGCGGATGCACAAATATAGGCTTAAATGCATTATTTCCACTACTCCCACTTTCCAACTTGGTTTCAAGCAAGAAAGCAAGAGGAAGCAGAAGATACGTTCAAGGTGATCCAATTATGGGTCCTATCTATAGTTTTTATTATGCATTAAAAGAGCCCCTCAAATTTGACCGCTCCAGGTCACCTCTTTATGGCCATGATGAAGGGAGTGTAATACTTCCATCTGGACTAGATTAGCTAACCTAGATTTAGTTGCCATGATCTTGTTAGATAATTCATCTTGCTCAATCTATTCAGCCTCAAAGTGAACCATTCAAATATCTTGAGTGATTTATGTGACACTACAAAGCGATAGAGAGATTCAATCAACACATCCGACAAGAAGTAATGAAAGGAAAATTTAACAAAAATCTTGAAATTTAAATAAAGCCTTTTTAATATATAAGCTACAATGCCAGTATAATCTATTTTCCTGATGCGTTGCAATAAAATAAAAGAATGTCATGTCAGTAGGGACATTACCGCTATAATTTTTTAATTCGTTTGGACAACATGGCAAAGTCTGCACCTGTTTGGATACCACCCAACTTGACTTGGTTTTAAGCTCTCTCCTGACTTCAAATTCTTATGCTGATCCACCATTGGAGATGTATAGAGGTTGCGAGATAAATTCAGATGAAGTTTTTTTTAGCAAATTAATAGAAATAGCTCAATGTGCATATGGTAGCTTACCAGATTCTAGATGGATGTCATGTTCAGCCAGATATTATAATATCAAGCACAATAAGTATAGAGGAAAATTCCATTAACAAAACTCTGAAATGGAAAATGGGCCAGCCATAGCTATTACAAGCCTTTTCTTTTCAAGTTACAGGCATTCACAACATGATATTGATTTTTTTTTTTTCTATAGACTAAGGCTATAGTTACGACATGATATTGATATGATTCATACATATGCCATCATTCTTTCATGATTGGTTCACTCATTCATGTTCATGGATGAAAACTCATAACCCATCAATCCTCACATGAGAAGATTTTCTTCTCCATAGTGTCACCATCTACTTTCATGCAAATATTTTTGCGTGAATCCATTGGTCCATTCCAGTATAATCTATTTGATAACAATACTGTTAAGCACATAATGGACATTTCATTCATATCATTCACATGTCATTGCTAATACCTTATTTAAGAAAAGGAATGAACATCTCATCACTTATAAAAATGGATATAGTACAACTCAGATTGACTATTTTCTTATAAGAAAATTAGATCGGTTAGATTGCAAAGATTGTAAAGTTATTCCGAGTATAAATTTATGTACCCAACATCAATTAATAGTTTTGGACTTTAAGATAAAGGGGCAGATAATAAAAAATAAAGTAAAATCATATTCTAGGATTAGATGGGGGCATTTAAAGAATATTAACAAAAATATTTTTGAGAGTAAGATTTTAGATCTTAAGATTTTATCTGTGCATGATAATGCTAATATTATGTGGGATAAAGTGGCTAGTGATATTAAGAATATTGCAAAAGATGTGCTTGAGTATCAAAGGGAAAAGCTCCTAATAGTAAAAATAGTTGGTGGTGGAATCCAAATGTGCAAGAAAAGATTAAGAATAAGACAATTTGTTATAAAAATTGTTTTAATTTTAAAAATTCTGATAATTGGGAAAGATATAAAGAGACTCGTAAGGAATCTAAGAAAGCAATATGCGATGCAAAGACCTTAGCTTTTAGTAATTTATATAATAGATTAGATACTACTGAGGGAGAAAGATATATGTATAAGTTAGCCAAACAAACAGATAGGAGTAGTAAGGATTTAGTTCAAGTGAAGTGTATTAAGGATAAAGATCAAAAAATACTTTTCTTAGAAGATGATATTTAACAAATGTGGATGAGATATTTTGCTAAACTTTTTAATGAAAATTGTGAAAATAAGATTGACTATAGTGACCTTAGCACCCTAAATGAAAATATAGATTTCTTTTTTTATCGGCGTATTAGTAAAATCGAAGTTAGAGAGGCTTTAAAAAAAATGAAGGGTGGAAAAGCTGTTGGACCTGATGATATTCCAATAGAGGTGTGGAAATGCTTAGGAGATTAAGGTATTTCTTAGCTTACTAAACTTTTTAATAGTATTTTGAAGACAAAAGATGCTAGATGTGTGGAGAATGAGTGTGGTAATTACTATTTTTAAGAATAAAGGTGATGCACAAGATTGTGCAAATTATAGAGGAATTAAGTTAATGTGTCATACTTTAAAACTATGGAAGCGAGTTATGGAGCATAGGTTGCGGCGTGATTGTAATGTTTCTCAAAATCAATTTGGATTCATGCCGGGTAGGTCGACTATGGAAGCCATACATTTATTAAGAGGTTTGATGGAGAAATATAGAGAAAATAAGGAGGATCTACATGTGGTATTTATTGATTTAGATAAAGCATATGATAAAGTTCCAAGAGAAGTGCTATGGAGAGTTCTTGAAAAGAAATGAGTTAATAATGCTTATATTCAAATCATTAAAGATATGTATGCAGGAGCGATTACTTGTGTTCAAACACAAGGTGGTTTGACCAAGTATTTCCCTATTTCGATTGGGTTACATTAAGGATCAACCTTAAGCCCATATCTTTTTGATTTAATCATGGATGTTCTCACTAGACATTTGCAAGAGGATATACCTTGGTGTATGCTTTTTGCTGATGATATTCTTCTTGTTGATATGACTAGAGAGGGAGTTGAAAGTAAACTTGAATTATGGAGGGCAACATTAGAGACTAAAGGTTTTTGCTTGAGTAGATCTAAAATGGAATATATGGAGTGTAATTTTAGTAGTAATAGACCTAGTGAGGGGATTGTGACTTTGGGCGATCAAGTCATTAATAAGAGTACACGTTTTAGATATCTTGGATCTATTGTTCAGAGTGATGGTGAAATAGATGAGGATATTATCAGCAGAATTCAAGTTGGATGGTTGAAGTAGAGGAATGCATTTGGCTTGTTGTGTGATAGAAAAGTACCCCTCAAACTTAAGAGAAAATTCTATAAGATGGTAGTGAGGCTTGCAATGCTTTATGGTGCTGAATGTTGGCCATTAAAAGAGAAGCATAATATTAAGTTAAGTGTGGCAGATGAGGATGCTCAGGTGGATGAGTGGTTTTACCCTTAGAGATAGGATACGAAATGAGCATATACGTGAAAAGATTGGAGTAGCTCCAGTAGAAGATAAGATTAGAGAGAGTCGCCTTAGATGGCTTGGTCACATAAAACCGCGGCCTTCCAATGACCTGATTAGGAGAGTAGATGTATTAGATTTGACTTATGTTAAGAAAGGTAGAGGCAGACCTAAATAGACCTGGTTAGAAAATATTAGGAATGATCTTTCTTTATTAGATTTAAACGAGAATTTGACCTTTAATAAGACAAAATGGAGAAAAAGGATTTATGTAGCCGATCCCACGTAGTGGGATAAAGGCTTGATGTTGTTGTAGTGTTCATTTGATGCACATAACTTTGTATGCATTCATTGGGGTATGAAGAGATCTTATGCAACATTTCACATCATACACATTCACATTAGTAGGAGCTGGAAGTATCATATGAATCATGCGAGGGAAAAACATGCTACAAATAAATGGGCTAAGAATTTCCATATAAGTGTAGACACAAAGTCTTGACATAGTTATATATAGGTTGCTCCATTTTCCCCTTAATATGGCTGACTTTTCTAGCTTCATGCAAACGATAGAGCTATAATGCGCTTAACTCTCATGATCTTGTGGAAGACTGTCGTAGCTTAAGTCAAACAAATAAATTTTCAGCATTGGTTCAACTAGAATTGGCGAGGGAGCATGCTTATGGGTCACCATAAATGTTCAACTTTTTGATATAAAGAATGGTTCTCCACGAGGCCAGGTTCTCTATTCTTTGACATTAGGTATGGCTTTTTTAAGTTCATAAAATTTGGCTAAGGATGATGTTAAGTTCAAGTTGGCTCTACTTGATCTCAAAATCAAAATATTAAATGATTGACTCAAGCTTAACTAAAAATTGAAATCATTATATAAACATACATGCATGCATGTATACATGCACATCATATATTATATATTTAACATAAATATTCATTTTGTGTTTACTCGATATATATTCAAACAAGTTGGAGTAGATTCAAAATCAATTTTTAATTTGAAGTAGAGCTTGAAATCTACTTGGAATCAACTCGAATTGATTTTGATTCTAGTCAAAGTTCGGGCAATTCTGAGGGAATTTTGATTTTTAGCAATTTTAATAGCCTTTCGCATTATAGTTTTCCTTAAGTTCTTTTGTCTTAACACTACTCTTTGGGTCAAATTAGATGTGCAAATTTGCATGAGGCAGGCAAATAGGGAGGGGACCATTATACTCATCTAAAGCATAAAGCATATGGTAAGTGTTGACGTTTATTTTCGCAATCGAGCATGAACCAACCCAAATTAAGCCTGAATTAAATTAAATTAAATTAAATTTAATTTAATTAAAATCAAATAAATCCAAATCGAACACCGTCGAGCGTCGTTGAGCCCAATTCGACGCAGTTCAGCGCCGATTCAAGT